ACCGCTCTTGCAGTAGAATACAGTGGAGTCACATCTTACGCGCATTTAACTTATGCAAATTCAGCTATACGCACTTGGCTGCTGGGGCTGGCCACCGGGTGCCAGCTGGGGCATGGCGCGTCATGCAGTGCTGCGTGGTACTGCCTGCATGCACCGGCATGGCTGAGGGACAGCAGATTGCTCACGCTCAGCTGGCTGCCCTGGTGGGACAAGGTGGCGGAGGTTGAGAGGGGCTAGGAGTGCATGTGGAAGGTGCCTGACAGCGGTGAGGACGCGTGGAGCAGCAGCAGCAGGTTGTCCCCCACTGCCGCACCCCATAGTAGGTGCAGCTGTTGCACTGCACGCACACCACTACTATGGGGAGGCAGTGGCGGGGTAATTTTGACTATATGCGATTTTTGCCTTACGCACTGACTTCAGAACGTAACCCTGCGTAAGATGCGACTCTGCTGTACTGTGTACTATTAGCAGTCTGAAAAAATAAAAGTTGGAAATCTTTAAACCTAACTTTGGCTATTTATAATATTACCTCAGTGTTTTCAATATCCGCTATACAAGCATCCAGCTCAGATAGATTGAAAATCAATCACTCTCAGAGAATGATTAGAGAATATCACAAATACTGGAATTACTCAAGATGAGATTGGATTATAATTATGTCTATATTTCATTTGGCAGCCTCATTTTGGTTGACAAACTGAGTGTATTTTTACAGGTATGGCTGATTAAAGTATATAATTTAACCAGTTAAAAGTAGATTTTGAATAACAGCTATTTTTTATTTCAAGTTTGCAATTTGCATACCCAGATCAGTTGAATGGTAGGAGCAGATACATTACCTATGCAAGTTCTTCCATCTTCTGCCAGCTCATAGGGATCAGAACAAAGACACTCATAGCTGCCTTTGGTGTTAATACAGTTAGCAGATGGGTGGCAGGGTGAACTCATGTGGTTTTCACATTCGTTTATGTCTGTAAAATAAACAGATCATGATAATTAATGGCCAAAAACTATCAAGATGATTCACTACATTATTAAATATGCTTCCAATAACAGGTATTACAAAGAGAAGAACACTTGTACACGAATTCCTAGATCCTGGTCCACGTATTAGACATCTAAGCTTATGTGACTGCTTGTACACAAATATGATCTTGCTTTATGAGAGTGATTCCACTTTGTTTGTAGAGGCACAAAGTTCTCTTATTTCCTCTCAGTGGACAGCTGTAGGTGCCTCCAAGAACATGCAGGCACTAAACAAATTACCAGTGAGAAATGCTAAGTTCCTGGCTATATGCAAATTTCTCCACTTTAAGCATCTGAGTCAGGGTTGACTATGTCATACTTCCATTATCTTAGGATCCAAATCACCTGGAGGGGAAGAGGAAGAAAAGGACTCACCCATATTTTAGCAAAGGATAAATGCTCTGCAATGCTGCCAGTATGTGCACTAGGTAATTTAAATCTCAAGTGAATGTTACAAGAGCTGCAGTTACACCTCTGAATTGGATTTTTGAATGGTGGACATACCCTAAAGCAAAATATAGACAAAATAGCCTACCATACCCACAGTCTTGTGTTGACTTAGCTGACTTAGCTACTTTTGTATAACCTACCTCAGGTATCTCTTAAATACAATAAGCTCCATTATTTCCATTTTAGAGATGGAAAAATAGAGGCAGAGTGAATTAGGCCTAGATTCTGCCACCCACTTCCATATTCACTCTTTGCTCTGCTGAAGAAAATAAGGCTGTGAAGTATGAGAATAAAAGAAAAGCTGGCAAAGTCGGGCATCAACTGATTTACATGAGCCAACAAAAGTAATAAGGTGTTACTGTGTTCTTGCACAGTAGTACAAGTATAAAGTATAAGTGGTATCTACTGTGAAAATAAAGTAAAAGTAAAAAAGTAAAATAAAGTAAAGTAAAGTAGCCTCTGTACAAGTGCTTTCCTGATGATTTTCTTTTTATTAAAAAGGTACTGTCTATTTAATGAAACATGGCTTGTTTTCATATAGAAGATATACAAACATTTGTTTACATTGTTGAACATATTAATAAAAACTGGGATGAGAAATGACTAATTCATGTAACTTATTTTTTCAGTTTTATGCCAGAACATTAATATATTGAAAAAAAATATATTATTTATTTAACAGCTTTATTTCTTTATATGGCATTTATGTGGGTGGAATTCTGCAGACAAATAGGATTTCAATAAAGGGAAGGCTGCAGATTTCATTTGATTTTTCTGTATCTGGTATACAATTAAGGTGAATAGCTGTCTCTTTTACTGTCACAGAAATACTGATAAGCAGACTTTACTGAACATCAGCAGTAGCACCTGCATTAAAATTAATTTGCCAACACCTACAAAGTATTCCTAAATATGGCCTTTTCAGATTTGATTTTCTTTAAAATTCTTATAAAGGCTAAACAGTTTCAGTATATATAAGAACTCAGAAACCTGAGCACACAGAGGAAGATGAACCCTGCATAAAATGAACTCATATACACTGAAACTTCCTTAATAAAATGTTTGCAATGCCCCCTTTCTCCTCTAATCTCCTCTCCCATTCAGTAGCAAAAAGGAGAAGTGGAGGAAAAGCAAAGAAACACAAAAGGCCACACCCTGAAAATATTCATGAACCACGCTAAGAAAGAAAACCTGCACTGTATAATTTTTACCTGGTACTATTTTTCATGTGCATTAATTCTAATTCTAATTAGCACATTTATATGAAGGAGCAGCAGAGTCAATTAACTACTTTTATAACTCCCATGCTCCTTACTGACTAGATGCCTGGATTCATGGTGCTATACTAGTTATTTATGGGAGGGACAGCTCCCTTCAAAACAGCACCAGAAAGATAATGGGGTCAGTCTCCAGTTGCTCTGCTATGATGCTGACTATAGGAACAAAGGAAAGTGTGCTTCTCACTTGTTTTCAGTATAATACTCAGCGGTAGTCACAAAACTTCACGCTAAGTTCCTGTTTAGTAGAAATCAATATTTTCCCTTGACATCATTCCTGTAAGTTGACTTGTGAATCAGACTTGGTGGAGTTGAAACATCTATTTAAAAATCCCTTAAGTAGTTGTATGGAGTTACAGCTAAACTAATTTCAGAAGTTTAGCTGTCTCTTCAGTTTAAAAAGCACACCCCTGGCTGCTACAATATGGAAAGTGAAAGTTTTGAAACAGTTTTTTTTTCAGAAGCATAGAATCAGAGGGCTGGAAGGGACCCTGAAGGATCATCAGGTCCAGCCCCCTGCATGAGCAGGAAAGACATCTGGGGTCAGGTGACCCCAGCCAGGTGAGCGTCCAGTCTTCTCTTGGAGACCTTGAGGGTAGATGATTGCACCACCTCTGGGGGGAGCTTGTTCCATAGTCTGGACACCCTAGTTGTAAAAAAGTTTTTCTTAATGTTCAACCTGAAACTATCTTCCAGGAGTGTGTGGCCATTATTTCTAGTTTTCCCCCAGGGTGCCCCAGTGAACAGTTGTTCACTGAGCCCCTGATATACACCTCTGATATAGCAGTAAGCCACAATCAGTTCCCCTCTCAGCGTTCTTTTCTTTTGGCTGAAGAGTCCGAGATCCCTCAGATATTTTAAAGGATATAATATAGGGCAATTTTATTTTTGGTGAATATTGTAAGTCTTTGGCCATTACAAAGTGAGACACATTTAAATGTAGATACCCATACAAACTGGTGATGGAAAATTCCATTCTTTATTTGTACAGGTTAATTGTTCTTCTCCTTGTAGCTGGAATCCAAATTGACATGAATAAATCACTATGGATTTTCCAAATTCTGAACAATATACAAAGTCACCATTTTCCACTTTCATTGGGACTCCACATGTTTCCTCTGGAAATAAAGGGAGACATATATATTAAAGATATATGTCAGTTTTAATAGTTTTATTTATATACCAAACATCATTTTCCATGTCCTTGGTACACTGACTACATTTATTGAGTCAGGCTTAAAGTTAACCAGGAATTAAAAATTAGACAAAAGCTGTATTAACCTCTATCAGAAAGAAGCATTATTCTTGTTAAATATTTACTTTTTCATACTGAACATTGTACAGTTATTATTTAAGATCTGATGCAAAAAAGGTGGATTGACAATAATTAGCATCACCCACTTAGCATCACCCTCAGAGAGGAGCTTGCAACTGTGAGTTTGGTTCCTAAGTTCCCTTTAAAATGCCTACAGAGTGGATTGCATCTCAGAATTGGAGTCACAACATCCAGTATACTGAGTGGTGAGCTGGCTAAGCTAGCCTGAAGGAGAAGTGCGTGTAAAATCCCACCCTCTCTCTGGCTGATAGCTATGCAAGACAATATTTGCAACCCTGAACTTCACTCTGAATTTAGGAACCTAAGTCATCTCTTTGCATGTAGATGAGTTGTTTCCTCCTTTCTTTTAAAAGGCATCTGGAAAAGAAGGTAATGGGGAACTGTTGACTGTCACTTTTTATATAAGAGACTATAAGTTAAAGCACTCATGTACAAAGTAGGATAGAAGAATGTAGGCATTTTCCAGTCGGAGTGAGTTCAAACCAACAACTAGAAGAGAGTGCTCAATACATAATGATATTGAGGAGAATGGGTTGGGGCATTTTGTTAAATAGATGCTGTTATGCAGAAAAGAATGCAAGTCATGGGGCCAGAAAGACAGAAATAGCGAACAAGAGTGAGCATGAGACTGTAGCCCAGGGATGAGGTCACTCACTGTAGAGTGGGTAGACCTGGTCCCTAGGACTGTATTTGGACAAATGTATTTAGAAATGTGACCAACACTCAGACACTCAATCCTGCCTCTCTTCACCTCAGTAGCATGGTAGTTATTCTGGGTATACACACAGTAGCAGCACCCTAGGCACTTACAAAACTTTATTGGTGAACCTAAAGTATGCAGAGACTCTATAGTTACGTCCAGACATGCAGGCATGTGTGGTGCGTGGCACCACAGACTGCATGCTTGAAATGTTAAAATGTGCCCTGCATTGCAAATTTGCTATTGGGGTAGGGGGACAAATTTGCTACCAGGATTTCCCAGTCGAAAAAAAAAATGCCAAGAAAAAATGTGGTGCGGCACATGCTACAATAGCACGTGTCAGAACAAACAGAGACTCAGTCCTCCAGGGAGATGCTCCAGCTGCTGGCCAGTGTCTCTACTACTTTATTCTACCCTGGCTGCTCCAGCACACTGGAAGCCAGGAGGAGTGGGGAAAGGGCAGTTTGCCCAAAGCAGAACAATTTGTCCCTCATCAAAGCACACGTGCAGGGGCGGGCTCTGCAGCGAAAAGTAGCGCCACAAATTTGTGCAGTTACTATTTGTGCCACTGAGGCTGCATCCAGAGTGGAGCCATGGGGTATGTAGCGGTGCAGACATGTCTGTGGCACCACATACTGCATGTTCAGTCATTCTCTGTGCTGTGAGGAAGCAGTGTGGAGGGTTTTTTTGACCGCTGGATATCTGGAGAAAAAACACAGAGCAGTGCATGCACAGGAAGAGTGCATTGCTCAAAAGCTGGACCACCTGGAGCTGTGCTGTGGCTGCCAGTTAGGCTCCATGTGGTGCAATCGCTGCTGGTGCAGCCCCAGAAGACCCCCAGGACCCCAGGTAAGACTGCTGGGGCCAGAAGTGTGCTGGCACCAGCCTCCCCTACTGCCCCCAGGGGTAACTCGCCACATGCCAGAGTATGTGGCATGGGCTTTTCCTGAGGACAAACAGAGATGGCACAAGGTGCCAAACTGCTAGTTGTACCCAGGGAACCAAACATCCATACCACATGTGGATGCAGCCTGCAAGTACATGCCCTTTCACATCTGGATAAAGCCTAAGGAGATTAGTAGGAATTCTGTGGATCACACAATTGGCCTCAGGCAATGAAGACCTTTTGTGGATCTGGGCTGAGGTAGAATCTATATTCTACCTATTTACCATATTTACCCAAATCCAAGACAGCTTTGAATTTAAGGCAACCTCCAATAATTAGATTCTATACATGGAGATTTATAAAATTTTATAAATCTCCATGTATAGAATCTAATTATCAGAGGGTATCTTAAATTTATGCATCACCCACCCAACGGATGCAGCAGGGCAAGCAGCAGCACGGGGGGACAGGCAGTGGGGGGTCAGATGGCCTGACTCCTGTCATTTGCCTCCTGCTGCTCATTTCCCCACAACTTTCCCCAATGCTGCCTGCCTGTGTACCTGTGTACCCTGGTATCTTCAGGCCCTGAGGCCTGACCCTCCTTCCCCACATGGTGCCTAAACTCCCTCACACACCTTGCCTCCTGATACTTACTCCCCGGCTGCCTGCTCCTCTACTATTTGTCTCCATCCTGCCTCCCCCCAGGCCTGCACGCCCTGACACCTTTCTGCCCCACCATTTGCCTCCGCTTTCGGCCTGCGCCACCATGCCTGAGCTACCCTTGACCCATGCCTTCCTTCTTGGCTGCACCAGTTCTTTCCCCCTTCACTATTGCTTCCTTTCTATCATGTCTCTGTTTCCAGCTCTGGCACTGGTCCTACTGTGGCCCAGGACACAGAGTATCCAGCTTGGCAGCAGTGGTTGCAATAGCTCTGGCCCCACCTTAGGTCATATGGGAGAGCTTTGATGAACAGGGGATTTGAATTCAGGGCTCTCAGCTCTGAAGACAATGTTGTAATCAATAACCACCCATTCTACCTGGCCAGAGAAGATGCTTAATTTTCTAGATTACCTTGCTCATAGGTTTCCTGCCAAGCTTCTAAATTTATTCCTGGTATATTGTCACATGATTCAAAGTCTTCAGGAAACTTCCCAAGTTGAAAGGCATCAAGTGGCACTTCTGAAAGTCCTGTGTTGTCACAGATTATGCGGGACAAAGAATGTTTTTTGAGCTCATGCCTTTGAACTTCTGTGAAAATATTATCATTTTCCCACCAAAATCTGGAAAGATAATAGAGGCATTATAAAGAGATGAAATTCAAAGAGTTGAATATTCATGATTGCAGATACAGTGTTAGTATAAAAACAAAAATAAACATTTTAGCAAAAGACAGTTATGAAATATACACTTATTCATGGAGATATAATAATAATTAATTTAATTTAATTGGTTGAAGTTTTACAATCCCATCTTAAAACTCATGAGGAACTCAGTCATGCAAAGAGCTCAATACCCCTGCAAAGTACCAAACATCCAGCAACCTGTATGGATGTCAGTAAGAAATGTAGGTGCTCAGAACTCCGGTGAATGGCTCATTGACAATGGAGGATCCAGGATTGAATGCCTGCTCTGACAGAGATAACTAGGGATCTGGGTTTTCTGTTCCCCATGGAAAAATGGAAAAAAACATGGATTTTACCCTTTTCCTGGGGAAAATGTGGATTTCTCATTTTACCAGAGAAACCTGTGGATTTTGCAGTTTTGCGAAGAGTTCTCTGCAGGAGGGTGGTCAGGCAGGGGGCACCATGTGCCTGTACAGGCACATGGTCCCAGGTAGCCTGGAGAGCAGCTCCCGCAGGTAAGTGTGTTGGGGTGGGGTGGGGGGAATTGAGGCCCTGATAGTAAGGGAGGGAGAGAGTTGGACAGGCTGGGACTGGGGCTACTGCCCAGTTGGATGGTACATGAGACTTCAGGCTTGGGGCCCAGGACCACAATTCATGGCCTCAGGGCCCCAGTGGGGAGTGGGACAGGGCCACGCGTGGCTCATCTGGGGGGGGCAGGAGGGAGGGACCAGCTCCCCCCCACTGCGCACATTCCCGGGGGGGTAGGGAGGACCCATGCCCCCCCAGATCTGTGTGTGGGGTGGAGGCAGGTGTGGGTTGTCTGCTGTGGGCTTGGGCTCCACACTCTGCTGCCCTCCCCTGGGGCCTCTGAAGCCCAGTGGATGCAACCCGGCACTGCGGAGCATGGCAGAGCTGCATGGGGATCTCCTTGCTGCTGCAAGCTCCGCACTGACATGGCAATATGTCCTTTGTCCACACGACTGTAGCAGGGGGCTGCAGGGTTGTGCCTCTCACTGCTGCCATGCTGGCAGGGCAGTGAGGAGATTTCAGTGGCAAGGAGATCCCTGCATGGCCTGGCTCTGTCTTCCAATGCCTGGTCACACCTGCTGAGCTGTGGAGGCCCTGGGCAGGGTAGCAGGGTGAAGAGCCCAAGCTTACAGTGGGCAGCCCATGTCCACTCTTGATTCCCACACAGATCTGGGGGGCATGGGTCCCCCCTACACCCCCAGGAGTGCATGCACCAGCAGGGAGCCACTCCCCTGCCTGAGCCCACAGCAGGCAAGCAGCAGGGGGGGAGCTGGGCTCTGCTCCACTTCAGCAGCTGCTGCCTCCTGTGAAGGGGAGGAGGCTATGGACTTGGGTCCCTGGCCCCATAGCCCTGACAGCTGGGTACCCCCTCTGGGAGAGCTAAGGGTGGCAGAAGACTGTGGGTGGGAGGTGAGGGGCACCAGCAGGGCCAGGGGGCTGATGGGGGGGTGACAAGCACCAACAGGTTTTGGGGGGGAGTGAGGAGTACTAGCAAGGCAAGCAGGCTGTGGAGGCAGGGTGAAGGGCATGGAGGGTTGTGGGGGAGTGAGGTGCATGAGCAAGGCCTGGAGGGCTAATGGGGGGAGTGAGGGGCATGAGCAGGACCATGAGTCTATTGCAGGGGAGTGAGTGGCCTCAGCAGGGCAGGGGGGAGGGGCATTGGGGGGAATGAGGGGCCTTTCATTTTAATCACAGATTTTGGGGGGTTTCTCAGAGAATTTTTAATTTTTTAATCAATGAATTTGTGTTTTTTATCAGGGAAAACAAGGACCCCTGGAGATAACTCAGACACCTCCCCTTAGGTATTTCAAAATAAAGAGGATAAGATCCTGTAATAAAGGAGCTGAAGAAAAGTGTCTAAAAGGGGTAGTGTTAACATTAAAGGAGAGGATTATCTATCCATTAGTATACTAAACATAGGTTTATATTGGAAAGTTGCGAAGAGGAACAGTTTGAAGCTGTTCTTGAATATTTCTGTCTTTCACCACCATTGCATTCCCACCATCACTGCATCTGCATGTCCACCCAGGATCACAGCAGTTTGAGCTGGCCCCAAGGAGCCCAGTGCTGGCAGCAGGCTTGGCGGGGGTCAGCCTCAGACTCCAGGTGGACCGTTTGGTGGTGGAAAGGCTGGCTGGGGCATGAGAGTGTGGGGCTAGGTGGCATGCACAGCTAAAGTGTGGGACTAGGTGGCCTGCACTTTAGCACTCTCGTGCTCCAGCCAGCCCCTGTCGCAATCTACACATGCATTTCAGTGCATGTAACTACTCAACTGTAGCATAGTACACTGTCCCCAACAGTACTTTCCTATGATGGAGTTAATTAATTGACTGCACCATAATACCAGTGCAAGTGTAGATGGTGGTGCTTTACCAAAGAGCTAGTTAGTCAATTCAGCAGCAAAGTGCAAATGTAAATGCACCCAAGATATATCTAACATCAGTATCACCATCCTGGTGTCAGAAATATCTAACACCAAGTTTTAGAACAGAACACTATTCTAACATTAATCTGACATGCAGAGCTAGTAATCAGTTCTTACTTTTCATACTTAACTAAAAATATTGAAATCATGAAGTAATAGTTTCAAATTGCATAAGTTGTACCTGGTGTTTAGTGTTTTATGCACTAGCGGTTAGATTGCATATTTGTGACATAAGTATTTATGTATCTCCACAATATATGTTTAACTTACTTTAGAGGACTGTTAAAATGATTTAGGAAACCTTTGTGTAATGTAAAAAATGCTAGTTGAGATTACGAAACTTTTTCTGCAAAATGTATCATCAAATGCCTGTCTATGAATATGGACTTCTCCATGTGTCAGGCATATGATAAATACATCTCTCCCAGACTAGCTACAATAAAGTTTTTAAACATAATGTTTGGATCAAATGACTGGTATGCTATGAAGACTGACTGAAATTGGAAGAAATTACTTCCTTCAACATGTTTTCAAGGGAGGGTAGAAAAAACACAAGCAGCAAAACAAAGAAGCCACATTGTTGGAACAGGGAATAGGGACTTATATACTCAATAGACACACCGGAGGAAGTAGCAGCAGGCTCAAAAGAAGAAGAGAGAAGCTGGCATTTGCAATGCTTGAGGGGTAGTTGCTGGGGGCTGATCCAGGCCAGAGACCATGAGCTGAGCAGAAAAGACTTCATGGTTCAGACAGCAAGTCATGTATTGTAGGAGGAGAATTCTGAACACCCAAAAGACTGAACCAATCACAAAGAATGTACGAGGAAAATAAGTGTGGGATTTACAAGTTGTGTCTCTTGTGCTACTAAGTAAAGAGCAATAGTATTTTCATTTTCCAGATGAAGAAGCAAGCCATAAAATAGAAGGCTCACAGCTTTGGTGAGATTTGGGGAGATATGCAAGAGCAGCCAGGAAGTTTTGGGAACCACCTGCAGTAGATTCAGAATTCAGGCAATTGGACTAGAGGTGTCTATTATTATTTTGGGAATTGACTACCTGGCATCATTTAGTATCATCTGCAAACTTCACTGTAAGCTTCAATTCCCAGGCCATTAATAAAAAATTTGAATGAAACCAGGCCTGATACAGATGCTTGTGGGATGCCACTTTCGACCTTCCATCCTTACCCTTTGCTTCCTATCTTTTAACCAGTTCTCAACCCAAGAAAGAACTTTCTCTCTAATATTTTTGGTGTTGCTTTGTACCTTGTTTTTAAAAAGCCTTGGGTGAAGAACTTTGTTGACTTTTCAAAAATACGAATATATTATGTCAACTGCTCCCCCCCACCCCCCGTCTACATGCTTGTAAACACCCTCAAAGAACTCTAGCAGATTGGTAAGACAGGAGTTCCCTTTATAAAAACCATTGTGACTCTTCTCTAGCCATGCATATCCATGCGACTACTGATTTTTTTCTTTATAATAAATTCTACCAACTTGCCAGTAAGACTATTGGGGCTTTTTCAGAAGCATTGAGTTTTGGCTGCCTGAGAATTTTGAGTGTGGTATACCAATGCCCTGGCCTAATGGTTTTACCCCTCCAATTAGATTTTCAGATGTAGACCAATAATGAAATTTGGGGTCAGGAATTAATTTACCCCGTGATCAGATTGGTATGGGGTGACTGTAGACATGCAGGGAGACTGCTTCAGCACACTGCAATTAATCAAGTCTGCTGGAGTGTGCTAATGAGCGCACTCCAGCAGCCTCTGTGTCTCATGTATCAGGATCTCTGCACTTCAAAATGGCAGTGGGTGTACTTTAATTAAAGCTCATTCAATGAGTTTTAGTTAAAGTGCCCCCGCCACCATTTTGAAATTCAGGGACACTTGTATGTGAGGTACTGAGGGTGTTTTAGTTAGGGTTACTCTGTCCCCAACCTGGAGCATGTGTAAAAATACCTATAGTTTTTAAATGATGCTTAATGCACACTAGCCTATTTTAATGTGTATTAACTAAATAGCATATTTTGTTTAGTGATGCTTTAATGAGCATTAAAATAACTAATACACATTCAAGCACATGTGTAGACATGCACTTAGACTACCGAACTAAAAGATATAAATCTGGAGATATACTTTGTCACTATGCAACATGCCACAGCCTTTTATCCAAAAAGCCTTATGGCAGCCATCCAAAACCTGATAATACCTCTGTTATCCTGTTTTTATTTACATATGGGGTTTTGCACATGCCCTTATTCTATCACCTATTTAGCTCTGTTGTGCCTCCTTTTTTCTCAGAAACCTAAGGAAGGGTACTATGGTATTCAACAGCTTGCTTATGTATCACCAACAAAAAGCCTAAACTATCATGATGAATTTTAACCAGTCAGAAATCTTGCTTGATTTTGATTTACGAGCCTGAGCCATCATCTGGGAACCGATATTTTGAACTAAGTCAGCTAGCATTGGTTAGGGACTACATGCTTATTCACATGATGGGTATGTCACTTTGGCAATGAAATGGAGTTTGGGCCTTAAGACTAGATTTAATAAAGGACTTTAGCACCTAAAGCAGGACTTGAGTGGAAAGGAGGTATATAAATGGGAAAACTTCAATCCAAAAAAATTCCATTCACTTTCTGCCTAGCCCCACAAGTCACCTAAATGTTTGACTTCCAAATTATCTAAGTACTTAGACTTCTGCTTCTGCATGGGTCCAAAAATAGTCCCAGCAGCTACATTAATATGAAATGAGTTCATCAAATAAGTCAATATTACTTATATGAATACTTGTTGTACTGGACTCTAACTAGTAATAGATTATTTGGGTCCTTCTTTTCCCCCAAAATTCCATATCTTCACAAATGATATCCATTCTTCAGGACTTCTAATGAATTTTAGAATCTATTAGAAATAGAATATGAGCCCTGCTACACATTAAAATTAAAGCTGGATAGAAACCAGCTCTAGAATTGTTACACATTTTCAAGCACTAACTTTATAGCTGGTTGGCTCTTTTTATAGCTGGACAGCTATTTGTGCAATAAAAATGCACTTGTGGCCAATCTAAATTAATTGTGTGAATAACCAGTCAATTGTGTAATACTTATAATGTGTTGCATGGACACTTTATATTTTGAAAGCAGTGATTAAGACTGAATCCCTTATTCATTCAAAGTCTGAACCTTCAGTTCTTAAACTCCTTTTTTCTCCCAAAGTGAAGTTTTATATACAGACAACTTAAATCTCACACAGGGGTTATGCAGGCAGGAATTTGGGGAGGCAGGTATCTGCCTGCTGAATACTGACACGACTATCCACAGGAATGATCTTTGTGTAGGCAGAAATAGAGCACACATCCTAAGAGAAAAAAAAATAGGCAAAAAGCAAATTGACTAAAATCACTAAGCTTATCAAGGGATAAAGAACAAGGGAACATAGGAATTGCTGATAACAACATTACTTTTTCCTTTCAAGTCTTATTTTCTCACACCTGTAAAATGCCCAGCAATTTTTGCTGCATTAAATCAACAGTTTAAAAATGCTCACCGGTCACCTTCTCTCAGTGCTTTCATTTGTTTTCCAATTATACATGCAAACAGTGGTCCAGTTCTAGCATCTGGAAGGAAGTTTTCTGCTAGGCCACCAAGCCAAACATCAATATTGTTAGGATGATGGTACAATTTCATGATTTTTTCGGATATTTTCTTGTTATCTATAATTGTATTCATGTCGGTTTGTGTCTTTAGTCTTGGTAAGTCACAGAATTCTCGCCAATCATTGTAACCTGTAAATATTATATATATAATAAGATTAGACTTGAAAACTCACTAATTAATGTAACATTCAAAATTAATTAATTATTTGGATGAGATTTTGACTTATTCACAATGAATAGCATCTAATTCTGAAAACAGATTAATTAGAATTGGCTGAAAGCAACTGGACTTCTTAGGGAGTAAGATATTACTCAGTGGTCACGTCTACACATGGCTATATAGCGCCTTTGTTACTTCCTAAGGGAAGTACTAAAAGATGGTGCAGGGACAGCCCATATTGTGCCATGCTGGCTGTGCATGGTTATTTTTGGCCAAAATATCGCTGTAGCAATGCACTGTAATGAGTGCATAACTCTGACATAGCAGCAGCATTGCAGTTTTTGCCAACAGATGCTACGGCACCTAGTGAATCGCTATGGCACCGTAGCGTCTTGCATAGATGTGCCCACTGGGAGCATCTACACAATCATATTAATGTGCTCAAATAAACTCTGGTGCTTATTGCACCAGAGTTTATTTCTCCCCTTTGTGCATTTACATGTGTGCCCGGAAGCATAGCATGTTGAGCCATGTCAGAGCAGCTCTGGCTGGCAGGGGACCTGGAGGGTGAGTCTGCCAGTCCAGGGCTGCTTTCCCCAGGTCAGCATGCTGTGGAAAGGCTGGCTGGGACATGAGGGTACTTTAGCACAGGGTTAGCTGGCAAGCAGCCCCCACACAGAATCACCTTTGTGCCTCAGCCAGATGGGACATTGTTCACATGTGTGCTGCTGTGAAGTTTTTTACTCTGCAGCAGGATAATACTTGTAAAGTAAAATCTGTGTTAACTGCCCCCCACCCTCCCTGCTCTGCAGGGGTTTTTAGGAAGGTTGAAAACCCCTGCCTCAGATAACCAGAATTTTAGATACCCAGCACCACCCTTACCCCACTCATGCCGGTTAACACAGCTTTTGCTTTATTACAAGAACTATCTTGCTGCAGAGTAAATTAGTTTACTCCAGCCTAATGGGGCACACGTGTAGGTATGCAACATTTACTGTGCAGCTAATTAGTTTGCTGAGCAGTAAGTATCTCATGTAGACATGTCCAGTGTGATGGCACTTAAGATATATTAATTGATGCCATATCAGATTAATAGAAACAAATCTGGATATAAAATAGCACTTATATTTAAAAACTCTGAAAACTCGACCATGGAAACATTTTGGTGAAGGCAAATTAATATAAAAACACAAAAAAACATGTTTGGGCTTTGAATTTTTACTAAAAGAAAAAAGAGGAATGGAAATAAACACACCCCATTACAAATACAGAGAGGCACTCCATGTGACTGTTTTTCCCCATAGTTGACCTGAATCTGTAAGGTTGCCTGTTAGAATGAAGAAAAAATTATGGAGGCACAGAATATAATGTCAGAGGCAGTAGCAATGGTTACAAGGTAGTATACTGCTACCAGAAGACTAGAAAATGGGAAAAACACAGCCTTTCTGAATAATATAAAAATGACATATTACCAGTATCTAAAACCTAAATTGTTAGAACCATTTTGCTGAAAAGATTCTAACAGCTCATGCTGAGATGAATTCATGGCATCTAATGATGCTTATCAGAAAGGACAGTGTGACATAAGTAGCTATGAAACTGCTGTTTCCATTTTCTGTGCACTGTACTTTTACATCTCTAAGAAGTCTCTCTCTACAGAGATGGAAGTAATTTACATACTGTGCTCTCCCAAAGAGACTACCTTTCCTTTTTTTTAGGTAATTTTTATTAAACACAAAAGTCATTTTAAGATTGAAAGTTTGAAGTTGTTTATTGCATTTAGAAAAATAAAATAGGAGATGATTGATAAATAGTTAAAACTGAATTGTCCCCCATGTCCCGCTCCCCACCCCCTGCCCATTATTCCCTATATTTTGAGATTCTGAAAGTTCTGAAAAATCCCAATAGCAGGCATAGCTGCGAAAGCTACTCCTTAAAGATATAATAATCCCTTCACAAGTGATTGATCCATTAGAGTCTCTAGGGGTAATTTTTCATTTTAATGCTAGTGAATAGTTACTATCAAATGTAGTGAAAGGCTAGTGAAATGTTATTATCAAAGGTAAATTAAGTATGATCATGCTGTGGTATTCTAAAAGCAGCACTGGTTACATGGTTACATCTCTGATTAAATATCACTTCAGAACCTTTTGGTAAACTCTTGATATACCTCAAATAGAAGTAGGAACTTCCTAATACATAACAAGAAAAAAAAAAACAGGAAAAAATAATGACCTGGGAGTCCATGATCACGTCCACGTTGTAAATTTAATGATGCTAAATCCAGTGAACCATTATTTGACAATACAAACAGCTTTTCAGTTAATTCTTCATTCAACATTTGATCTTGTGTCTGTAGTTTTGCTGACCTTGCTAGGACACCTCTTAATAATGGGTCCAAACCTCCTTTCAACACAAATCAAATTCAGTGTTACACTATGAGACATAACTCATTATAACTTTCCTAACAACCCTGGCTGAACTGTATTTAAAAGTGCATTTAACGACAAGAATATTACAGTGCATTTTGAAATGGGAAATAATACTGCAATTGAAATTGTGTTATCTTGTTCTTAGGACAACACACATTTAAAAGATCACAAGAATATTTAGCCATAAAAGCTTTACAATTCATTATCAGTTTAACACACTGGTTTTAATATGATAGATTAATTATTTCTAATAATGTCTGTCTGCTTCAAAATACCAGTTAAGAAAAACAAACTTTTTCTGCTGATGTTATTTATTTGGACACCATTCAACAACCTGAAACAATGATGTAATTAAACAAATGCTCTTGGTTTTAGATGATTCTGGAATGTAGTACAGACAGTCAAAAAAGCCCAAGGCTGAATCAATTCAATCTTCACAGGTTAATTTAAACTGTGTAAATTGAAGTGATAAGCTAGTGAACAGACGTTCACTTTTGATTCTGAAAATGCAGCTACATGCCTGAAGTAGCTCAGGCCCGAAGCCAGGGGACACTGGAGCATGCATCCTGCTCTGTTGGAGGAGACAGCTTAGGTCAAGGCTAACCTAGCCACCCTGCAAGTGGGGGTTTGCAGGGGAGATGCAAAGCAGCATGGGATGCTGGGAGACTGTGAGTTAATTAGAATTTGGAGAGGATCTGGGACAGAAATTCAGTAAACCATTTTAACCTAAATCAGTTGAGTCTGATACTACACCATTCAGGTTTATCTTAAACTGGTTTCAGCCATTTTGAAAGTGGTTTATGTGCACTGAACTTCTGTTATGTTACAGATTTGAACTAGTTTTTGAACACTTATGCAGGTTTAAGCACAATTTCTGTCACTAGCCTAATAGTTTTGAAAAATGCTGAAATATTGTGCAAAGATGTAATCCAATTAAAAGCATACCTTCTTTTATAAGCCTCCAGGGGCTAAAGAAAACCTCATGTAAATGAAGATTTGGGAGGTCTGGATCATCTTGATATTGTGCATTAAGTCGCTTTATTATTGGCTGAATTGTGGCATGACCAAAACGAAAAGCAGCGGTTGAAAAGATGTTAGAAACTGTGGGATTTACTGAGGGATCATAACCTTTATATAGTCCAATATATTGATTAAAAGCATCTGGACCAATGATTTTTGGGATATAGTCTCTTAAGGTAATGATCTGAAAGGAAAGAAAAATATATCTTAGCTAATATTTCCATAACATGATAATGCTCACCACTTCTAAGGAGCTTTGTAAAAGCTAATTTAAACACTTAATCACAAATAGAAGTGATAGGAATTCTTTTCTACAGCTACAAATTTCTAGGAAGTTTGTAGAGGTAGAAATTTTCCTGAAAAAGGAAGCACACAGGTATGCCAGCTTGAAGATTCTGCTGCTTCCCTGCTCCTCACACCTTTCCCAGACTGGCAACACCCTGGTCTGAGCTATGGGGATTCTCCCCTCCCCCCCACATTTTCCTGAGACAGAGGCAGTTTGACTGTTCCCCTGATCCCACAGATCATCCAAATTCCTCCCCTGAGCCTCCCCATATACCTCCTGATAATAGAGGAGTCAAACAGAAGCATACAGGCATTCATTCTGTTGAGAGAAACTCTTACACTAGGGAGATCTTTCAAGTGTCAAAGTAGTTCTTTCTGCAGATGGGACATTCCCTGTGCAAGAGGGAGAAATTGTCTGTACCCTGGGAATTTCTAGTGGAAGAGTGGCATTTCTCCCACTAGAAATGTAATGGATGTCTGAGACCCAATAGTCTCAACAGCCGTGTATGGAAGTGGTTCTCAGCCTTTTTAGAATGCAGGCACCCCTCGCTAGACTCAAGGCACCCCTCAGAAAATGCCAGCTCTTAGTTTTCACTTATTTTCTGACTAGAGAAAAATAACAACAATTCTTCTGTTGCAAAAAACTGAGAAAGATCACAAGATGTTAGAATATGGATTCTTATTTAAAATCTCTGGGTTTATCATTCTCTCTCTCTCATACTTTGCTTTCTGCTTTTCCTTTCACAGAATCTGATGAAGTGAGCTTTGGTTCACAAAAGCTTGTGATTGTGTGATTGTGTGTGTGTAACCACACACTTTCATTGGTTTATAAGGCGGAAATCAACTCTGCCTTCTACTTGACTTCAGTACATGTCTTGATCTTGTCAATCATGTTTGCATACCTAACACTGCTAACATTGTGCAATACCACATGTGACCCTTGAAAGGATTGCAAGATACTCCATGGTGCTGTGACACCCTGGTTGAGAATCACTGATATATGGAAAGAAAATAATATTGTCCTTAGTTTACAGAGGGTAACAAACAACTTAAGTTTAGGTTAGATCCTATTAAGAATTTAATTATGTAAAATATTGTCATAGCAATGCCCAACTTTTAGGTAAATGGCTGTCAGAGTTCAATTGAAAATCTAATCAATTAGGTGGGGAAAATTATATACCTTGGAAAGGTACAAGAAACCATGTGTTACAGCTAGCTAATAGGAGACATTAAGTACTGGGGTACTGTGACATCTTTTCCCTCAGCACAACATAACTATTAGTTTGGGCTGAAAGCAGGTGTCTCGTTTCACACTGAATGCACAGTCCAGAATCTTGCCCTTAGAGTAAATGTCTATACCTATTCTTTGAAAGAATGAGCAAAGTTTATTATTTTCTGGCTAGATGAGAAAGTGGTGCTGCTTACTTTTTTTTTTTAATAATAGGACAATAGCTAAAGCACATCAGCAAGCAGTGGCAGGCTGGGTTCAAAATCTTCCTCAATCCAAGGGGAGACAGATAACTCCCACCTTCCCAGAAACTGTTTTAACCACCAGGGCCACTTGTACACATGACGGGTGTTTAGTCTCCTAAATTGAAATGGTGGGTTGTTAATTGTGATGACCAAAAACCCACCATTTCAATTTAGGGGCTTCCATCATCCTTATGGTGAGGGACGCAATCCTTTTCTTTCCCCCCTGCAGATCCTGCCCATGTCTCCCATGGTGGGTGGGGGGGCGATGAGCTGCCAGCAGGCCGAGTGGCCCCTGAGCTGCAGGGAGCTCTAGACCTTCCCTCCATGCCAGCAGCAGCCCCTGGGGCTACCTAAGTGGGCTGCTAGTGGGTGGGTGCTGCCTGGGGAGCAGCACCACTGTGGAGGGAAGGTCTGGGGCCCCCACAGCTCAGCAGCTTGCCCCCTGGCCACAGGAGAGGTAGGCAGGCTCTGTGGGAAAAAAAAAGATCAGTGTACAAGTGCCCCAATTGCCTAGCATATCAACTAGATCAAAGTTTGACTTGGAGAGGTTACCTGTCCTTCTTAAAATAGCTGCCTGTTTACAAGAGTTGATGTGTACCTTAAAAATTATATTGCGACCACATCAAGTACTGGGTACTTAAAAAGTGGTGATAACAACATAAACTATTACAAAAACCTACATAAATTCCCTTTGTTATCATCAGATTCTAAGTCACCTGTTTGTGACACAAATCTTCTTTCCTGTAAGTTAAAAATGACCAGGTTTTAAAATATTCATTCCCAACATTCTTTGGTAGATATTTTATGCTAAGCTGCAGCCAATTTATAAACTCCTAAAAATCAGAATTTAAAATAGAAATTCTGATAAACATTTCCTATCAAAGTCTTTTTATTATGTAATAGAATTACCGAAGCGTATAAGTAATACTGAAGCATATAAGTAATACTGACCAAAAATGAGGAAATTATATAATTCCCAGAATAAAATGAAATTGCATTATAGATTAAATATTACATTGAACTTAATAAAGCATAATGGGATGACTATGAAGTATAGTGAACTCATTAAATATATCATAGGTTCAGTAGAATATGCAATAAACCGAAAGGACAAATACACTATAAGCTTGATGCAGTGAATATTGAAAATCTAGTTTGTATTAAAAAACTTCATCAGATAATATATTTCATTATCTTAGGCATGACACCCAGAAAAGCAGGCTCCCATAAAATCTACAAGCTATGATTTGTACACCTGTAACAATCACTGTACCTAGAACTGGATAGGTAGTTGTAGTTCCTTGTCAGCTTAAAGTTTTGTACTTTTCTAATTAAAAATGTTCATGTAGCAAAGGAGCTACTTTAAACATGATACATGAGGACTTTGGATGGTTTCTTGGTTAGATTCTTCCTTACATGTTACTTGTCAAATAATTAGACTTTTTTTAATTGATGGAAATAGTGTGGTTGCCATTAGTTATCATTTCCCAACATTTTCTAAATGTTATGATCAAGGTTTTCATGATAGTTCTTTTCAACTGTTACATGGTTAGAATTAGCTTTGTGTCCTACCAGTAGCATCTCATAGAATCAGACAAAGGTGAGGAACTAATTTTCCCAGCCTCACAGGCTAGTAAGACTGGGAACTATTGAGGCAGCAATATTCAAATATTTAAGAAGAGAAGGAAGTTGGATAAAGGGAAATGGTACTTTGTTCTGCAGACATAACAACTCAAACTGTCCAGTTTAGTGCAGAACAGCACTAACTGGGACAAAACCAACTCTAGGTACAATTCTTATTGTATACCTTCCAACTTAATACAACAATTCGAGGCATGCCTTTGCTCTTCTACTGGAAATGGATTTCAAATGTCCGTTTTGGCTGTAGAACTGAAAGAGCGGGTCAACTCAATTTCAGGTTCGCTATTTACTCCCGGACTCCATTTTTTATTAGGGCTAAGGATAGAAGAGTTTTGCTTATGTCTTATGCTAAAAGGTGCATGTATTTGAGACTGAGACAAAAACTCATACGTCTGTTGGATGATGGGTGTGATGTCAGACAGAAGTACTCTTTAGGAAAGTAAAGCAGAAACTGAGTAGCATACTGGAGAAAGATGTGGAACCTGCCAGAGAACCATAGGAACAGTATATCAGAGCATATAATGCCAAGGATTTGGAGCTACCTTATACATTAATTTATTTAGTTTCATTTGGCAATGAAATGTCACAATTCATATCCTGCAGAAGTTTAAAAAATAAGCCTAAATGTAAATAGCTAATGAAATGGGTATGACCAAAATTTTTTCCATTGTTCCTCTCTCCCTTGCAGCCTACTGCATTTAAGGTCTAGGGAGTTGTTTCAGAGGCTGTTCCCTAACCCTCATGTTTAATAGCCTCTTTCCTCCCAGAATTGGTCCAATCCCTGTTTTGAATCTGGCTAAACTGCCAGCTTCCACATCCGCTAGCAATGAGTTCTACACTTTAATTACAAACTGTAAAAAACAACGTCCTTTTGTTAGTTTTAATAACTGGAGTCTGCTTGGAGCTGTTAAAAAAAAGTGCTTTACTTTAAACTCTGTGCACTCCTGTGCCAAGACCACTGTATACCCAGAAGAGACAATGCATTATTTGGCATGAGCTAACCCGATGTCTATATAGATCAGGCGCATTAGTGGGGATTTTCTGGCACTTTTATCCATGGGCGACTGGTGCCTCCCAAGTCTGGGGGGGGGCACAAGATCACTGATAGGGGGGTCCCCAGCAGCTGCTTGCTGATGGGGGTGGAGGGGTACCCCAGTGGCCAATCACCAGCTGGGGGGGAGGGGGGCAGTGGCTAATCACCGAGCCGGTGAAACCGGCTGACTTTTCCAAGGGGGTGTCTGGACTATTTCAGGGGGTGCACGTGCATCTGTTTGCACTCCCTATGCACCACCAATGCTTTTATCTAATAACTAGTCAGCTATTAAATAAAAGCACCAAAAAGCCCTACTAAAAGCACCCAATCTATACAGACACTATAGAGACAACTTGAAGTAACATGCTGCTTCTTCCAGTAAAGCACTTTTTTTTTTAACATCTGAAAGCAGCCACAGAAATTAATTTTAAAGTTGGATTTTTTTCTAAGTTTGTCATGAATAAACATCATATTTTTGCTTCAAATAATACTCCTTAAACATTTATTTTTTTTCTATGTAAATGAAAGGACATTCTTATTTGAAAATACCTCAGTAAAGTCTAAACGAAAAACTGCAGCTTTGCAAGGAAAACAAATTCAGAGCTATTTCAATGATGTGTACTATGGCTGATCATTTGTTTGAGATAATTACAAATCATAAATTAATTTTAGAGTATTTGAAACAGCAGAAAATTTCCTGAAATGCAGAACAGAAAGTCTCAGGTCCTATAAGGTGCTGAATATACCCAAGT